GGAGGGGGGTTATGGGGTGGGGGGGAGAGATGAGGGGGTTATGGGGTGGGGAGGGTTATGGGGTGGTGTTATGGGGTGGGGGGGGATATGGGGGGTTATGGGGTGGGGATATGGGGTGGGGGGGTTTATGGGGTGGGTTATGGGGTTTGGGGCGCCGTGGGGGGTTATGGGGGGGTTATGGGGTGGGGGGGAGATATGGGGGTTTATGGCGTGGGGGGGAGATATGGGGTGGGGGTTTGGGGGGGGTTATGGGGTGGGGGGGTTATGGGGGTTTATGGGGTGGGGATATGGGGGGCTGTGGGGGGTTATGGGGTGGGTTATGGGGTGGGGGGGAGATATGGGGTGGGGGTTTGGGGGGGTTATGGGGTGGGAGGGATATGTGGGGTTGTGGGGTGGGTTATAGGGTGGGGGGGAAATTAAGGGGGTGGTTATGGGGTGGGGGCGCTATGGGGGGTTTATGGGGTGGGGGGGGATATGGGGTGGGGTTGTGGGGTGGGGGTTTGGGGGGGGTTATGGGGGCACTCCAGACTCCAAACCCCAGATCTATGGGGCACCCCGACCCCAGACCCCATAGATTCAGCACTCAGGACCCCAAACCCCAAATCTATGGGGCACTGAGGACCCCAAACCCCACAGATCTTCACTCCAGACCCCAAACCCCAAACTTATGGGGCACCCCGACCCCAAACCCCACAGATCTTCACTCCGGACCCCAAACCCCAAACTTATGGGGCACCCCGACCCCAAACCCCACAGATCTTCACTCCAGACCCCAAACCCCAAACTTATGGGGCACCCCGACCCCAAACCCCACAGATCTTCACTCCGGACCCCAAACCCCAAACTTATGGGGCACCCTGACCCCAAACCCCATAGATTCAACACTCAGGACCCCAAACCCCACAGATCTGTCACTCCAGACCCCAAACCCCAAACCTGTGGGGCAGCCCGACCCCAAACCCCAAACTTATGGGGCACTCAGGACCCCAAACCCCAAACTTATGGGGCACTCAGGACCCCAAACCCCATAGATTTGGGATCACCGCCGCCATTCCCCTCCCCCGCCCCCCATCCTAATCCCACACCAGAGGCTGGGCCGCACTTCGCCCCATAGCGGCACTTCGCCCCATAGCGGCACCCGGCCCCATAGCGGCACTTCGCCCCATAGCGGCTCCCCGCCCCATAGCGGCACTTCGCCCCATAGCGGCTCCCCGCCCCATAGCGGCACTTCGCCCCATAGCGGCACCCGGCCCCATAGCGGCACTTCGCCCCATAGCAGCACTTCGCCCCATAGCGGCTCCCCGCCCCATAGCGGCACTTCGCCCCATAGCGGCACTTCGCCCCATAGCGGCTCCCCGCCCCATAGCGGCACTTCGCCCCATAGCGGCTCCCCGCCCCATAGCGGCACTTGGCCCCATAGCGGCTCCCCGCCCCATAGCGGCACTTCGCCCCATAGCGGCTCCCCGCCCCATAGCGGCTCCCCGCCCCATAGCGCCCCCCCATCCCTATGGGGCCCCCAAAGTTGTGGGGTCGGGATTCGGGGCGGCTCTCAGACCTGCGGAAACGGCGCGGAGCGGAGGAGGAGCCAAAGCTGCCCCGCCCCCTTTCGGATCCTCATTAATGCGCGGCGTTAATTGGGGGCGGGGCCGCGGGGCGCCGCCTGGCGGAAATGGGGCTGTGGGGGCGGGGCTGTGGGGCAATGGGGCGGGTGATGGGGTTATGGGGTGGGCAATGGGGTCGGGCTATGGGGCGGGTTATAGGGCTGTGGGGCTGTGGGGCGATGGGGCGGGTTATGGGGTTATGGGGTTATAGGGTTATAGGGTGGGCTATGGGGTCGGGCTATGGGGCAGGTTATAGGGCTGTGGGGCTATGGGGCGGGTGATGGGGTTATGGGGTTATGGGGTTATAGGGTGGGAAATGGGGTCGGGCTATGGGGTCGGTTATAGGGCTGTGGGGTGGGCTGTGGGGCTATGGGGCGGGTTATAGGGTTATGGGGTTATGGGGTTATAGGGTGGGCAATGGACCGGCTATGGGGTCGGTTATAGGGCTATGGGGTCTGGCTATGGGGTCGGGCTGTGGGATGGGCTGCGGGGCTATGGGGCGGGTGATGGGGTGATGGGGTTATAGGGTGGGAAATGGGGTCGGGCTATGGGGCAGGTTATAGGGCTGTGGGGTCGGGCTGTGGAGTGGGCTGTGGGGCTATGGGGCGGGTGATGGGGTTATGGGGTTATGGGGTTATAGGGTGGGCTATGGGGTCGGGCTATGGGGCAGGTTATAGGGCTGTGGGGTCGGGCTGTGGGGTGGGCTGTGGGGCTATGGGGCGGGTTATAGGGTTATGGGGTTATAGGGTTATAGGGTGGGCTATGGGGTCGGGCTATGGGGCAGGTTATAGGGCTGTGGGGCTATGGGGCGGGTGATGGGGTTATGGGGTTATGGGGTTATGGGGTTATAGGGTGGCCTATGGGGTCGGGCTATGGGGCAGGTTATAGGGCTGTGGGGTCGGGCTGTGGGGTGGGCTGTGGGGCTATGGGGCGGGTAATGGGGTGATGGGGTTATAGGGTGGGCAATGGGGTCGGGCTATGGGGTCGGTTATAGGGCTGTGGGGTCGGGCTATGGGGTAGGCTGTGGGGCTATGGGGCTATGGGGCAGGTTATAGGGTCATGGGGTGGGCTATGGGGTCGGCTATAGGGTGGGCTGTGGGGCTATGGGGCGGGTTATAGGGTCATAAGGTGGGCTATGGGGCCAGGCTATGGGGTGGGCTATGGGGCTATGGGGCTATGGGGTGGGCTATGGGGCGGGCTATGGGGCGGGTTATAGGGTCATGGGGTGGAATATGGGGCCAGGCTATGGGGCGGGCTATGGGGCAGGTTATAGGGTCAGGCTACAGGGTCAGGCTGTAGGGCTATGGGGTGGGCTATAGGGTCAGGCTATAGGGTCAGGCTATGGGGTGGGCTATAGGGTCAGGCTGTAGGGTCAGGCTATGGGGTGGGCTATAGGGTCAGGCTATAGGGTCAGGCTATAGGGTCAGGCTATGGGGTCAGGCTATGGGGTCAGGCTATAGGGTCAGGCTATAGGGTCAGGCTATGGGGTGGGCTATAGGGTCAGGCTGTAGGGTCGGCTATGGGGTCAGGCTATAGGGTCAGGCTATAGGGTCAGGCTATGGGGTGGGCTATAGGGTCAGGCTATAGGGTCAGGCTATGGGGTCAGGCTATAGGGTCAGGCTATAGGGTCAGGCTATGGGGTCAGGCTATGGGGTGGGATGTAGGGTCAGGCTATAGGGTCAGGCTATAGGGTCAGGCTATGGGGTGGGCTGTAGGGTCAGGCTATAGGGTCAGGCTATAGGGTCAGGCTATGGGGTGGGCTGTAGGGTCAGGCTATAGGGTCAGGCTATGGGGTTGGCTATAGGGTCAGGCTATGGGGTCAGGCTATGGGGTGGGCTGTAGGGTCAGGCTATAGGGTCAGGCTATAGGGTCAGGCTATAGGGTCAGGCTATAGGGTCAGGCTATGGGGTGGGCTGTAGGGCCGTTGCAGGCAGAGCAGCAGTGACTCCTTTTATTGCGGGGTGGCGCCGCGCTGCGCCCTACAAAACGTCGCCCCAAACCCCAAACCCCAAAAGCTGCCCCCCCCCCCCCCCCCCCAAAAGCCCCCAGCCCAACATGGAGCCCCTGCCCACCTCCCCCCCATCCATAAGGGAACCCACAGGGGGCGCTGTGGGGCGGAACGGGGCGGGTTGGGGTCGGGGTTGGGACATCCCATAATAGGATATGGGGTGGGAGTGGGGTTGGGGTTGGGATATGGGGTGGGAATATGGGATTGGGATTGGGGTTGGGGTTGGATATTGGGGTATGGGGTGTGAATATGGGATTGGGACTAGGATATGGGATGTGGGATTTGGGATTGGGATGTGGGGTGTGGGATTGGGGTTAGGGAATGGGATGGGAATATGGGATTTGGGATTGGGATATGGGACACGGGATTGGGGTTGGGATGAGGGATTACAATATGGGATGTAGGATTGGGGTTGGGATATGGGATTTGGGAAGTGGGATTTGGGATTTGGGATGGAGGTTATGATACAGGGTTGGCATATGGGATGGGAATATAGGATTTGGGATTGGGATGTGGGTTTTGGGATTGGGGTTGGGGAATGGGATGGGAATATGGGATTGGGATTGGGATATGGGATGGAGATATGGAATTAGGATATGGGATGTGGGATTTGGGATTGGGATATGGGATGGGAATATGGGATTGGGATGTGGGATTTGGGGTTGGGGTTTGGGCTATGGGGTGGGCTATAGGGTCAGGCTATAGAGTCAGGCTGTAGGGCTATGGGGTGGGCTATGGGGTCAGGCTATGGGGTCAGGCTATAGGGTCAGGCTGTAGGGCTATGGGGTGGGCTATAGGGTGGGCTATAGGGTCAGGCTATAGGGTCAGGCTATAGGGTCAGGTTATGGGGTGGGCTATGGGGTGGGCTATAGGGTCTGGCTATAGGGTCAGGCTATGGGGTGGGCTGTAGGGTCAGGCTATAGGGTCTGGCTATAGGGTCAGGCTATGGGGTGGGCTATGGGGTGGGCTATAGGGTCAGGCTATAGGGTCAGGCTATGGGGTCAGGCTATAGGGTCTGGCTATAGGGTCAGGCTATAGGGTCAGGCTATGGGGTGGGCTGTAGGGTCAGGCTATGGGGTCAGGCTGTAGGGTCAGGCTATGGGGTCAGGCTATGGGGTGGGCTATAGGGTCAGGCTATGGGGTCAGGCTATAGGGTCAGGCTGTAGGTTCAGGCTATGGGGTGGGCTATAGGGTCAGGCTATAGGGTCAGGCTATGGGGTCAGGCTATGGGGTCAGGCTATAGGGTCAGGCTGTAGGGTCAGGCTATAGGGTCAGGCTATAGGGTCAGGCTATGGGGTCAGGCTATGGGGTCAGGCTGTAGGGTCAGGCTATAGGGTCAGGCTATGGGGTCAGGCTATAGGGTCAGGCTGTAGGGTCAGGCTATAGGGTCAGGCTATAGGGTCAGGCTATGGGGTCAGGCTATAGGGTCAGGCTATAGGGTCAGGCTGTAGGGTCAGGCTATGGGGTGGGCTATGGGGTCAGGCTGTAGGGTCAGGCTATAGGGTCAGGCTATAGGGTCAGGCTATGGGGTCAGGCTATAGGGTCAGGCTGTAGGGTCAGGCTGTAGGGTCAGGCTGTAGGGTCAGGCTATAGGGTCAGGCTGTAGGGTCAGGCTGTAGGGTCAGGCTATAGGGTCAGGCTATGGGGTGGGCTGTAGGGTCAGGCTATAGGGTCAGGCTGTAGGGTCAGGCTGTAGGGTCAGGCTATAGGGTCAGGCTGTAGGGTCAGGCTATGGGGTGGGCTATAGGGTCAGGCTATAGGGTCAGGCTATGGGGTGGGCTGTAGGGTCAGGCTATAGGGTCAGGCTATAGGGTCAGGCTATGGGGTCAGGCTATGGGGTGGGCTATGGGGTCAGGCTATAGGGTCAGGCTATGGGGTGGGCTATAGGGTCAGGCTATAGGGTCAGGCTATAGGGTCAGGCTATGGGGTGGGCTATGGGGTGGGCTATAGGGTCAGGCTATAGGGTCAGGCTATAGGGTCAGGCTATGGGGTGGGCTATGGAGTCAGGCTATAGGGTCAGGCTATGGGGTGGGCTATAGGGTCAGGCTATGGGGTCAGGCTATAGGGTCAGGCTATGGGGTGGGCTATGGGGTGGGCTATGGGGTGGGCTATGGGGTGGGCTATAGGGTCAGGCTATAGGGTCAGGCTATAGGGTCAGGCTGTAGGGTCAGGCTATGGGGTCAGGCTATAGGGTCAGGCTATAGGGTCAGGCTATGGGGTGGGCTATGGGGTGGGCTGTAGGGTCAGGCTATAGGGTCAGGCTATAGGGTCAGGCTATGGGGTGGGCTATAGGGTCAGGCTATAGGGTCAGGCAATAGGGTCAGCCTATATGGTCAGGCTATAGGGTCAGGCTATGGGGTGGGCTATAGGGTCAGGCTATGGGGTCAGGCTATAGGGTCAGTCTATAGGGTCAGGCTATGGGGTCAGGCTATGGGGTCAGGCTGTAGGGTCAGGCTATAGGGTCAGGCTATGGGGTCAGGCTATGGGGTCAGGCTGTAGGGTCAGGCTATAGGGTCAGGCTATGGGGTCAGGCTATAGGGTCAGGCTATAGGGTCAGGCTGTAGGGTCAGGCTATAGGGTCAGGCTATGGGGTCAGGCTATAGGGTCAGGCTATAGGGTCAGGCTATGGGGTGGGCTATGGGGTCAGGCTATGGGGTCAGGCTATAGGGTCAGGCTATAGGGTCAGGCTATGGGGTCAGGCTATGGGGTCAGGCTATAGGGTCAGGCTATGGGGTCAGGCTATAGGGTCAGGCTATAGGGTCAGGCTGTAGGGTCAGGCTATAGGGTCAGGCTATAGGGTCAGGCTATGGGGTCAGGCTATGGGGTGGGCTATGGGGTCAGGCTATAGGGTCAGGCTATAGGGTCAGGCTATAGGGTCAGGCTATGGGGTCAGGCTATGGGGTCAGGCTATAGGGTCAGGCTATGGGGTCAGGCTATAGGGTCAGGCTATGGGGTGGGCTATGGGGTCAGGCTATGGGGTCAGGCTATAGGGTCAGGCTATAGGGTCAGGCTATGGGGTCAGGCTATGGGGTCAGGCTATAGGGTCAGGCTATGGGGTCAGGCTATAGGGTCAGGCTATAGGGTCAGGCTGTAGGGTCAGGCTATAGGGTCAGGCTATAGGGTCAGGCTATGGGGTCAGGCTATGGGGTGGGCTATGGGGTCAGGCTATAGGGTCAGGCTATAGGGTCAGGCTATAGGGTCAGGCTATGGGGTCAGGCTATAGGGTCAGGCTATAGGGTCAGGCTATAGGGTGGGCTGTAGGGCCGTTGCAGGCAGAGCAGCAGTGACTCCTTTTATTGCGGGGTGGCGCCGCGCTGCGCCCTACAAAACGTCGCCCCAAACCCCAAACCCCAAAAGCTGCCCCCCCCCCCCCCCCCCCCCAAAAGCCCCCAGCCCAACATGGAGCCCCTGCCCACCTCCCCCCCCATCCATAAGGGAACCCACAGGGGGCGCTGTGGGGCGGAACGGGGCGGGTTGGGGTCGGGGTTGGGACATCCCATAATAGGATATGGGGTGGGAGTGGGGTTGGGATTGGGATATGGGGTGGGAATATGGGATTGGGATTGGGGTTGGGGTTGGATATTGGGGTATGGGGTGTGAATATGGGATTGGGACTAGGATATGGGATGTGGGATTTGGGATTGGGATGTGGGGTGTGGGATTGGGGTTAGGGAATGGGATGGGAATATGGGATTTGGGATTGGGATATGGGACACGGGATTGGGGTTGCGATGAGGGATTACAATATGGGATGTAGGATTGGGGTTGGGATATGGGATTTGGGAAGTGGGATTTGGGATGGGGGTTATGATACAGGGTTGGCATATGGGATGGGAATATAGGATTTGGGATTGGGATGTGGGATTTGGGGTTGGGGTTGGGGAATGGGATGGGAATATGGGATTGGGATTGGGATATGGGATGGAGATATGGAATTAGGATATGGGATGTGGGATTTGGGATTGGGATTGGGATGGGAATATGGGATTGGGATTGGAGAACGGGATTGGGATTAGAATATGGGATTTGAATATGGGATGGGAATATGGGATTGGGATATGGGATGGAGATATGGGATGTGGGATTTAGGATTAGGATATGGGATGTGGGATGTGGGATGTGGGATTTGGGATTTGGGATTGGGGTTGGGATATGGGATTTGGGATGTCCATTGGGATGTTAATGGGGGGTCTATGGGGGGGGTCCATTGGGAGGTTATAGGGGGTGTATGGGGGGGATAATGAGGGGGGGTCTATGGGGGGGTCCATTGGGATGCTAATGGGGGGTCTATGGGGGGGATAATGAGGGGGGGTCTATGGGGGGGATAATGAGGGGGGGTCTATGGGGGGGTCCATTGGGATGTTAATGGGGGGTCTATGGGGGGGATAATGAGGGGAGTCTATGGGGGGGGTCCATCGGGAGGTTATGGGGGGGTGAATGGCGGGGATAATGAGGGGGGGCCTGTGGGGGGGTCCATCGGGATGTTAATGGGGGGTCTATGGGGGGGTCCATTGGGAGGTTATGGGGGGGTCTATGGGGGGGATAATGAGGGGGGGGTCTATGGGGGGGGGTCCATTGGGATGCTAATGGGGGGTCTATGGGGGGTCCATCGGGATGTTAATGGGGGGTCTATGGGGGGGTCCATTGGGAGGTTATGGGGGGGTCTATGGGGGGGATAATGAGGGGGGGGTCTATGGGGGGGGTCCATTGGGATGCTAATGGGGGGTCTATGGGGGGTCCATCGGGAGGTTATGGGGGGGTCTATGGGGGGGATAATGAGGGGGGGTCTATGGGGGGGGTCCATCGGGAGGTTATGGGGGGGTCCATTGGGATGTTAATGGGGGGCTATGGGGGGTCCATCGGGATGCTAATGGGAGGTCTATGGGGGGGTCCATCGGGAGGTTATGGGGGGGTCTATGGGGGGGATAATGAGGGGGGGTCTATGGGGGGGTCCATCGGGAGGTTATGGGGGGGTGAATGGGGGGGATAATGGGGGGTCTATGGGGGGTCCATCGGGAGGTTCTGGGGGGTGAATGGGGGAGGTCCCAGGGGGCCGACGGGGGTCTGTGGGGCTGAGCACGGCGCGCTCCGTCCGGGCTCTGCGGGAGGGGATGTCGGTGGGGCGGGGGGCTCCGCGTCAAGGCGGGGGGGCGTCGTCGTCGCTGCCCTCCCCCCCCCGCTCGTCGGTCCCCTCCTGCAGGCCGCTCTCGTCGATGTCCGGCAGCGACGCCGACCTCTGCAGGCTGAGCTCCGCCAGCGGCAGCGGGGGGACGCGGCTCTGCTCCGGGAACAGCCACGGCTTGCGCTGCGGGGAGTGCTGCCGCTTCCACGCCGGGTAGCGCTGCGACGCCTGGTAGAGGCGGCGCATGGCCTGGGGGGGGATAGGGGTGAGGGGGGGGTAGGGGGCTATGGGGGGGTCCTTTGGGAGGTTATGGGGGGTGTATGGGGGGTGTATGGGGGGGATAATGGGGGGATAATGGGGGGGGGATAATGAGGGGGTCTATGGGGGGGTGCTTTGGGATGTTAATGGGGGGTCTATAGGGGGGTCTATGGGGGGGATAATGGGGGGGGTCTAGGGGGGAGGGTATGGGGGGGTCCGTTGGGAGGTTATGGGGGGGTCTATGGGGGGGATAATGAGGGGGGTCTAGGGGGGAGGGTACGGGGGGTGTATGGGGGGGGTATGGGGGGGTCCGTTGGGAGGTTATGGGGGGGTCTATGGGGGGGATAATGGGGGGATAATGGGGGGGATAATGAGGGGGCTACGGGGGGGTGCTTTGGGATGTCAATGGGGGGGATAATGGGGGGGGTCTAGGGGGGCTAGGGAGGAGGGTATGGGGGGGTATGGGGGGTGTATGGGGGGTGTATGGGGGGGTCCTTTGGGAGGTTATGGGGGGGTCTATGGGGGGGATAATGGGGGGATAATGGGGGGATAATGGGGGAGATAATGGGGGGGTCTATGGGGGGTATGGGGGGTGTATGGTGGGGTCCGTTGGGAGGTTATGGGGGGGTCTATGGGGGGGATTAATGGGGGGGATAATGAGGGGGCTATGGGGGGGTGCTTTGGGATGTTAATGGGGGGGATAATGGGGTCTATGGGGGGGATAATGGGGGGGGTCTAGGGGAGGGATTAATGGGGGGGGGCTAGGGGGGAGGGTATGGGGGGGTATGGGGGGTGTATGGGGGGGTCCGTTGGGAGGTTATGGGGGGTCTATGGGGGGATAATGGGGGGATAATGGGGGGGATAATGAGGGGGCTATGGGGGGGTGCTTTGGGATGTTAATGGGGGGGATAATGGGGGGGTCTATGGGGGGGATAATGGGGAGGGTCTAGGGGGGGGATAATGGGGGGGTCTATGGGGGGGATAATGGGGGGGGTTTATGGGAGGGATAACGGGGGGGTCTATGGGGGGGCTAGGGAGGAGGGTATGGGGGGATATGGGGGGTGTATGGGGGGGTCTGTTGGGAGGTTATGGGGGGGATAATGGGGGGGGTCTATGGGGGGCTAGGGGGGAGGGTATGGGGGGGTATGGGGGGTGTATGAGGGGGTCTGTTGGGAGGTTATGGGGGGGTCTATGGGGGGATAATGAGGGGGCTATGGGGGGGATAATGGGGGGTCTATGGGGGGTGCTTTGGGATGTTAATGGGGGGGATAATGGGGGGATCTATGGGGAGGATAATGGGGGGGGTCTAGGGGGGGCTAGGGGGGAGGGTATGGGGGGTATGGGGGGTGTATGGGGGGGTCCGTTGGGAGGTTATGGGGGGGGTCTATGGGGGGGATAATGGGGGGGATAATGAGGGGGCTATGGGGGGGTGCTTTGGGATGTTAATGGGGGGGATAATGGGGTCTATGGGGGGGTCCATTGGGAGGTTATGGGGGGGATAATGGGGGGTCTATGGAGGGTCCATTGGGATGTTAATGGGGGGGATAATGGGGGGGTCCATTGGAATGTTAATGAGGGGGGTCTATGGGGCGGATATTGGGGGGGCTATGGGGGGGATAATGGGGGAGGTCTATGGGGGGGGCCATTGGGAGGTTAATGGGGGGGTCTATGGGGGAGCCAATGGGGGGGACTATGGGGGGGTCCATAGGGATGTTAATGGGGGGCTCTAGAGGGGGGACAATGGGGGGCTATGGGGAGTCCTTTGGGATGTTAGTGGGGGGGTCTGTGGGGGGGTCTATGGGGGGGATAATGGGGGGGTTATGGGGGGGTCCTTTAGGGTGTTAATAGTGGGCCAATGGGGAGGTCTATGGGGGGGATAATGGGGGGGCTATTGGAGGGGTCCATTGGGGTGTTAATGGGGGGGTCTATGGGGGGGGTCTATGGGGGGGATAATGGGAGGGTCTATGGGGGGTCAATTAGGAGGTTATGGGGGGGTCTATGGGGGGGATAATGGGAGGGTCTGTGGGGGGGTCCATTGGGATGTTAATAGTGGGCCAATGGGGGGGTCTATGGGGGGGTCCATTGGGAGGTAATCGGGGGTCTATGGGGGGGATAATGGGGGGGCTATGGGGGGGTCCTTTGGGATGTTAATGGGGGGGGACTATAGGGGGGTCTATGGGGGGGATAATGGGGGGGTCTATGGGGGGGATAATGGGAAGGTCTATGGGGGGGTCCTTTGGGAGGTTAATAGGGGGTCTAAGGGGGGGATAATGGGGGGGTCTATGGGGGGGATAATGCGAGGGTATCTATGGGGGGGTCTATGGGGGGGATAATGTGAGGGTCTCTATGGGGGGGGTCTATGGGGTGTCCATTGGGAGGTTAATGGGGGGGTCTATGGGGGGGCCAATGGGGGGGTTATGGGGGGGTCCATTGGGATGTTAATAGTGGGCCAATGGGGGGTCTATGGGGGGGTCCATTGGGAGGTAATCGGGGGTCTATGGGGGGGATAATGGGGGGGCTATGGGGGGGTCCTTTGGGATGTTAATGGGGGGGTCTATAGGGGGGTCTATGGGGGGGATAATGGGGGGGGTCCATTGGGGGGGTCTATGGGGTGATAATGGGGGGGTCTATGGGGGGGTCCATTGGGATGTTAATGGGGGGGTGAATGGGGGGGATAATGAGGGGGGGTCCATTGGAATGTTAATGGGGGGGTCTATAGGGGGGTCTATGGAGGGGATAATGGGGGAGTCTATGGCGGGGG